ATTGTCATTCATTTACATATTTTTTTACTTCTTATCTTTCTATTCCAAGATACCAAGAATATCAACATGCTTAATTTGATTTTGTTATAGAACAGCAGCCTGAGCCGTGTTTATATGTAGAACGTTAACTTCGCCCTTTACATCGTGACCAGCTAATCCTGCAGGTGGCATGTTTGGTGTATTTGGTCTATCATCGACCTGAATTGCGTCAAAAGAATTGTCAAATTCTGCTAAGCATTGTTCATCGTTGCCTTGCTGATTGCAGAAGGGTACAATATAGCTATCTATGGTGATGTTAGAAGCTTGCCTTTGAGCTTTGAGTGTTTGTGACCTTCAAAAACGGATGCATAAAATGACAACATTTAAGCATTTGATATGAAATAACTTGCATGTATCACTTTACAGAAATGTCTTATTTGAGAAGATTTCAGATGCATACATAGACAAATATCTATTAGAAACATATATTTTTATTACAACAGAAGTACGAATTCAAAAACCCAGAATATATATATATATATATATATATATATATATATATATATATATATATATATATATATATATATATATATATACTTACTGTTTAGATTAATTTTCTTGAATTTTATTCTAAATTTTACCTGCTGCAAATTACAGCCAAAATAATCAGAACTAAACAGACAAGTATTCCTCCAGCAATAGCGTCTGAAATATGAGAAGATATATCAGAATATTAATTATTTTCCATTTCTAATTTTCTTCTCTCTGATAACTCTTTAAAAGTTAGCAGAGTTGATTTCTTGATAATTCTACCTCAATGTAAATTAGACAGCTCGATAGGTCGGGAGCTTAGGAGGCGTAATACGCATGCAAATCTCGTGCGCATTTGCCTCTGTCTGACGCTAAGGAGGCCAAATATGCATGTAAATCTCGTGCGACTGTGTTTGTGTTTGACGACAGTGGGTGAGGACTAATGAACTTGACATGAGAGTCATCGTATAATTTAAATATATGTCTACATATTTTTAAAATCTAAATCTGTAATTTTATTTTACAATGAAATGGAAATATAAGGAATCACTGTCTACTTTGTATAGTATGCCCGTTATACAAATTATCCCATGTTTCCCCCTACCATTGATGACCTAGCATACTATACTAAGTAGACAGTGATTCCTTTAATCAATTTGATCAAAAGGTTTTTTTTCTTCTAAATAACAGTCAAAATTTAATATTGGGTTACATACATGTACAATATGTTTGTAACCTATCAGATTTATTTATGTGAGTTATATTTAAGTGATGAGTGAAAAAGTAGTGCTAAAATACATGTTAATTCACTGTGAAAAAAAAGATTCAATGTAAAAGTGTTAAAATCTTAAATTATGAAAATTTTAAATTATTTCGAAATTGATAATTTGAAAGAAAATAACTAATGAATTATTCATACTGCTGTTTTGAACGAATGGTCTCTTTCGGAAGTGAATCTGATTTTTATTGAAAAGAAATTTATATATATATCAATATTAACCGGTGTGTTTTGCCTGGATCAATATTAATATTTTCTGATGAAAAAATATGAACAAAATTGTGTTTCTCATGTAGTCAGCATTTGAATTAATAAAACATTGAATTTGACGATACCATTTCCATTAACGATTATGTCAGAGAAAACAAATTACAGAATATAACTTCCATTATTTCCTATTGCTGTGTCAGACATTGAAAATTAAAAAAGGTATGATTTAATTTAAGGCCTATTTAGAATTTTCCTCCTCACGTACACTGTTTGCTTCTGCCGCTACAACCACTGTTTTTAACTTTCTCTGACGTATGAGATTAAGGCGTCACAATGCTGCAGTATCACAATGCCGATGCAACTGGCACTGACTCACTGGTGAATACGCTTTTATATTCAGTGATTATGTAATGTTATGTAACGTTTGTATTTGTATATGATATTATAAGGGAACTACGTGTATTTAGCTTTTGTGAGAAGCATGCATTAACTTTTACATTGGACACTCTACTTTGATATTCATGTATAATTTTTATCTTGTAAGGATGTACAAAAAAGAAAAAAAGATAAGAAAATCTAGTAATCATAGGTATGGTGTAAAGGACACTAGCATGTGAAGGCCGGGAGTTGAGGGTAGGGTGGTTGTCGTTTTCTTCAAGGACAACTTATATGTACATTGAAATAACCTGTTAGTTTCGTAAAATTAAGCGTTGAGCTGAATATTTATATCGTAAAGGAGCTTCCATACAGTGTCCTAGTGTCACAGTAAGCCGTTTACGGTTAAAGTCCGAGCACATACATGTTGCAAACGACCATTTATAGACTACATAAAAAACCTAACTAGAGCTAAAAGTACCCTTGATCAAATTAGACACTTCAGTTTTGGAGTCACAAAAGTTGTTTGGTTGTTGCCGGAAAAAAGTTAAATTCGTATTGAAAATCACTTTGCATGTGGGTATTTGCATCACAAACACACTAATGAAGTTTGATAAGAAAGTTATTAAAGTAGAATTATCAAATCAATTAAAGAAAGCGCTGCAAGCCCTATGAAGAATAGTTTAAATTATTACAAATTATTATGTATTCCCCTTAAACGTATTCGATAATTGTACAATATACTTTTAACATTTTAATTTCTTGTATATAAGATTAGATATAAATAATTCCGTACTTACATATTTCTGTAATCACTACTGGACGAAAAAAGTGCTGAGAATCCCAAATTTTACTGATAAAGTTTGATAATTACTGATACTGTGCTGTTGTTGCTGATAAATACTGATATTTACTGTTATTATTACTGTTGTTGCTGATATTTTTTGTTGTTTCTGATAAATACTGATAATTACTGTTGCCTTTTACTGTTGAGTCTGATAAATACTGATAAATACTGTTGAGTTACTGTCGCTGCTGAGAATTACTGATAATTACTGTTGAGGTACTGTCGATGCTGAGATTTACTGATAATTACTGTGGTCATTGTTTTTAACCCGGTAATTGGTTTAAAATAAAACAGAGGGCTATAAAAACCTTCAATTATTACTTTCTTTTACTTGAATTATCATGGCAAAATTTTCATATTTTTTTTTAATGTTCTGCTTAATTGTGGCAAAATTACATGACTGTATGTATGTATGCTGATCTCAATTTCTACATTACGTTAACTTTGTGAAAATTTTGACAATAATCAAATGAATTATTAATAGAATGAATATATAGAAATAGAATTAATAAAAAAAAAATAACGGCAGAAAAAAAATGGAATTTTACTTTTGCATAAGATCTTATTGAAAAATAAACTGTAAATAAAAAGAAAATTAATGCTATCTTAAAAAAGATCCATCGCCGCCTTTCCCGACTCCAAGAAAATTATGTAGGGAGATCGGTTATCTTTTTTTTTCAATAATAAGAAAAAAGTTCTTAATGGATGGGAAAAAAATCGGGATGAAAAAAGTTTCCTGCAGGTTAGAAAAGTTGGATTTGTTCCGTTTTCACTAGGTCAACTGGTCGAGTTTGGACAACATTTTGTTTTTGAAGGCCTAATTTCTCGAAAACAATTATATTTATCATGTTAATTAAATGTTCAGTTTTCTGGTCTCTTTTTGTCAAAATATTTGAAAATTTGCTCGGAAATTAGAAATTTAAGCCCTTTTAAAAGTAACTAAGAGTTGAAAACAGGTTTGAATGATAATGTTTAATCTGTGGGCACTGATTTTAATTAATAATTTATTTATTTATTCATTTATTTTAATGTTATGTAGACGCTTGTAGATCGTCCAAGAATTAAACTCCTCCACATGTACATATGTACAAGTACACACTGTATGCATGTGCAACCGGCAAATGGGGCGAGCTGATTAAAAATTAGAGGTTAAGAATCCCTAGTACAAAGGTACATGTGTTTAGTTTGTCTTAAGATTTAAATACAAAATCATTTTTTATTTAATCAGTTTTGAAATCTCATTAATTTTTTTATTTGATTTTATGGAATGGGAAATAAGAACTGAAATGAGACTTAATTTTATATGTTACTATTAGTATATGATCAAATTAATCGATTTAATTTTGCATGGTAAAAAGTTGAAAGGAAAACACCTTTAAATTGATTTCAATTGATCAGAAATCGGTGATCGACCTGTGATTTGGCTGTATTGTGTACATGTCTTCAGCCCCGGGGTAGAACGGGGTACAACTTGTATATTCCATGCAAATTGTAGTGGTCAGCGTAACAATGGGCACTAATTACCTATTGTTCTTCGTCTGCGGCTACCGGTGTTTTCAATAAACAAACTACCTACACTGTACATGTACTCGCTACTTTGGAACAATCTTAAAGTTAATGAATCTTTTTACCATTTTACTTTAGTATAATACATAGACCACAAAAACATATAAAATGTGTGATTTTATACATAACAGTAGGTCTAAAAGGCATGCCTGAATAAAAAGCTATACAAAAAAAATTTTGTAGGTTGCTTTAAATGCGAAGTAAGGGAATTTATGCCGGGGAGTATATTTTGTTTATCAGATAAAAGAATATCCCGGGGGAGGTGGTCACATGTATTTTCAATTCTGAATCTCTGCTAACGATTGTTTGGGACCGGTAAATACGTAGACGAGAAACTGACTTCACTTTTTAATAAAAAAAAAAAGTGTGCAAAATAGACAATCATATAGATAAAAAGAGAAAGATTGTTTAGTGGAGCACTTTTTTGAAATAATATAAGCATGAATTGTTCCCAATTCAGATGCAGGGAAACTTCGCTAAATCCGAGAAAAAAAACCCCTTAAATGTATGGATTTTGAATGTCAGAAACATGACGTTGTGTATCGCACTCATGAATAAATGTTATAATTACTTCAGTTCTGAAATTTGTATGGTTCATTGCAATTGATTCTCTAAAATAATTTTATTCATGCATATAACAAATTCGATAAGTATAATATCATAACTTGCATGACTTTTAAAACACACAACTAAAGAACAGACCTTGCCCTATCAGCTATCACTTAATTGTAAACAGTATTTCACCCCCTCCGTTTTGTGCTACAATCAAGTAAAATCAAATTAAGCACCAAGTCTGTACTGTTCGTTTATACACAGGTCTCGGACAAAAATGGAATTAAAAAATAATTATAATCACTGCACAAAATTCTAATTTTACAAAAACGCAAGCCGTAACGATATCCCTATCCCCATGGCAGAATGTACTAATAATTGACCCGATTCTAAAACGAAAGTAGAACTTTTACACGTGGTTGACATATATGTTCAATAACAAGCACAAAGTTTGCATTAATGGAAAAAAGTTTATTCGAGTTATGATTTATTTTATTTAGTTTTTTAACTGACTGACCGCATATAACATGTTTAAGGAGTGGCGCATAATATTAGAAGCCATATCCCCATAGACTTAAAACTGTACAATGAAAAAAGAATAAGCCTAAAGAAAGACGTATATTTCATTGACTGAAAATCACAATGCATAAGATTTATGTCATGTAGTGTACAATCCTTAAGCCTTAACAAATAATTTAAAAGAGAGTGAGAGAGAAAGAGAAAACTAGAAAGCGACACGATATAAAATTCGCAGGGAGGACATCGGAGAACTAGAGCGCGCTGTCTACATAATAATTAATATAAAAAAAAAATAATTAAAGATGCTTCAATTTAATTATTTAACCCTGTCACATTCTTCTATAAAATAATAAAGTGTACGCTTCAAGACTAGATTTTATAAAAAAATATTTAATACTGTCTTGTTAAAATGAGAGCTTAATTGGAAAAGGGGGGGGGGTGTTTTCAACTTAATTTGCTCATGCATTTTCAGTTCTCCACACGGTAAAATAATTTGATATTTACAACCATTGACTGTATTTAAGTATTTAAGAAACCCACAAAAAGCTTTTGATGACAGTACACATACATGTGAGAAAAAATATGAGATGAGATGTTTTTTAACCTTTATGAACAAAAATTAAACTTTTTAAAAAAGTACTTGGGAAGAAAAACCACTGCAAATACAACAGAATAATTTTCCTCAGATAATGTCATCTATGTGTAAGGAGAAATTTAAAGAAAAAACATAAACATTTATGAAAGCTTATGTTAACATTATGGTAAAAAATTATTATAATGAAATTAATATATGAAAACTGAAAACAAATTAATAAAATGTGACTTTTTTATTTAGAATAATTTATTTTGTAATTGACTGTAATGAATTTGTTAAAATACTTTTAAAAAAAACAACAAATAATCATTTCTCAGGCTATTTTAATCCATTCCCAGGTTAAAAACAATGACCACAGTAATTATCAGTAAATCTCAGCATCGACAGTACCTCAACAGTAATTATCAGTAATTCTCAGCAGCGACAGTACCTCAACAGTATTTATCAGTATTTATCAGACTCAACAGTAAAAGACGACAGTAATTATCAGTATTTATCAGCAACAACTAAAATTATCAGCAACAACAGTAATAATAACAGTAAATATCAGTAATTATCAGCAAGAACAGCACCGTATCAGTAATTATCAGACATTATCAGTAAAATTTGGGATTCTCAGCACTTTTTTCGTCCAGTAGTGAATATACTTGATATTTGATGTTTCGCTGTGATTTGTCGAATTATTCGGGATTAAGGTAGAAGCTTCTGTTATCTTATCATGACAAGTCACTTGTACATACCTTCTTGCTGAACCTTGATAAACAAAAGTTATTTGCATCAACAATCTCGTTTTGAATCTTCATTTCGCTAACTATATGGTTTAAATAATACCCCCTAAGCTTTCTACCACATATGGGATGTTTTTATTTGAGTGCTGATTGACGTTTTTCGTACAAAATTGTAGGTCAAATTTTCGTATTGAATTGTTTACAGACTTTTTTTATCATGTCAAGGAGCAAACGGTGGGTGTGAGAGGTCGACAGGGTATGTTAAATCAACAATGAAACCTGGACCAACCTCTGTTTCTTGAGAAGTCTGTGTTTGCTCTATGTTTACACTGCTCTTGATTTGCATAATTTTTGGTGGAAAGTTTGAGTTTGATTACGGTACGGTATCTTCGTATAAATACTTGTATGTCGTCCGCTTGGCGCGGTGGTTTGATCTGCTCTAGAGTCGTGATCGAGGTAATGAGGTCATTCTTACGTCGCGGGTTTGAATCCAACTATAGGACGTGGAGACAGATCATTTGGGTTGGACCTATAAAACGAGTTCCGATGCAGCAGTAGGTGCTGGCACATAAAAGATCCCTCGCTGGTCAATGGCCGTAAAACCAAGTGTATGACAAATATTTGGCAGCTCTCTACTTGGAAGTGGTGGCGTCTAAATATGAGGATTGACGTTAAACAGCATACAATCAATTTATCGCATGAATGTGGAGAGAAAAAAAACGTAATAAATCTATAAGTGAATAAAGATCATGATTATGCTCAAAATGAATTTGAAATATGCATTTCCAAAACAGGGCAAAGACAGACCTCTTAAAGCAAAAACGTTTGGACCAGCTGTCATGAGGAGTGAGCATCCTCCGTCAACCGGTCAATACCAACGTGTGCCGCTTTTCTCGATCGAATAAATGGAGAAAATACCTGACAATTTAGTGTGAAAATAAATGCCCTATAACTTCTTTAAAATTTACTAGTAAACATTCGAAAAATGTGATTATATTTACCGAAATTGTGATTATATCTACCAAAGGATTTGCGAATCAATGACTTTGAAGAAATATCCTCGTTTTAGCAGTATATTAGTCAAAACGTTTATTGCCTCAATTAAGAAATCACTCATGCGTAGAGCATGTTCTTGCTTACCGAATCAAATAAGAGATTTAACAGTTTAAACTCAATATATGTATGCTTCTGATTATGTTATTTTATAACATAAATTAAGAAGGTTGACAATATATATTTTGTCATCACGTTAAAGCTTTGTTTCATAAGATTATTTTAATGCTAAAATTACAATATGAAGATCACAAAATGAAGTTTGTCAAATGGTGCTTTTACATTAAGAATATTATTCTGCATGAAAATTATTAATGCTTACTAACACTTAAGAAACCTTGGCTGCACAAAGAAAAAAGCAGTAGAAAAAAAACCAACATTTTTATAATTTTTTTTACCAGCTGAATTCTCTTGAACTCTCACGCAGTGGTAGAATTCTCCTGGGCTTTTATTTGCTTGATATCGTGAAATGACTTCAATTGACGACGTGTCGTTAACATCAAGACTTATACCAGCATCTTTAGTTGGACAATTAAATATCATCTCCATCCCAATAGTGACCTCAGTTGAACAAGGGCTAATTGAAATTTCTCGTGTATTAATTAATAGACTTCCTTCAAATAACGGATTCACTTCACAGGAACAAGGTTTACTAATTTTATAAAAATCTATGTATAAAACCTCTCCTCTTCTTTCAAATCCATCGCATTTTATTATTGAAATACTTGAATCTGTAAAAGAAATTAAAGTATAAATTCTATTATATTTAAATTCCCCAAATTTCTTACTTTCAAAAAAATGATTTAGATGTTCTGTGAAGAATTATTAGGTTGGTTAAAGGATTGAATTTATCTTTGAGTTAAAAGTTAATACAAAACCTACCTTGTGAATCACATTGCCCTTAAAAAAAAAAAATTAAAGTTTTATATTTTGTATCTTTTGTGCATCGATACAAATACGAGGGCCATTTAAAAAGTTTGTAGACTGTTGTCCTGACGATTTCATTCAACGTTGACGATAAAAATTGTTCAGACACATAAATATTTTGAGTAGAAAAAATTAATATATCTGATATTTGTTAAACTAATCAAATACATATATTTAAAACATTGGAAATTGGGTCAATGATCAGGGTCAAAACTGAGTTTTGTAGTAATTTAAAAACATGTTTATGGCCATGCCTCTAATAATTGGCATTTAAACAAAATGACAGTATAATATTGAAATAAAGTAATTATTTTTTTAAACTTCTGATGATAAGAGGTGAACAATTAATCCTATAGACATAGCTCTCTGACGACTGATAGACTTGATAATAGGGAAAAAAATCATGGTGTCGAATAAAAGGACGTCATGGAGCAGCGAGTAGCAAGTAAATTTTGTTTCTGATTTGGGTACCTCTTAAACAAAAACTGAAAGTTTTAGAGGAATAAGAAAATATAAATGAGAAAATAATAGCCACTGGGTATCTGTATATCAAAATTAAAAAAAAAAGCAAGGTTTGAGCGGAAAGGCCTTTAATCAGACGAGTACACATTACACATTGATAAAATAAAATAGTCTTAAATTTGAAAATCTGATGACCTTCAATCTTGTAAAAACAATAAGACGAAGAGGAATATTGTGTAGAATATATTTTTGAACGACCCTCGAAGATTCTCTTCTAGTATTTGAGAATGAAAAATTATCAACAAGGAATCCAGTTTAATTAGCAGAAGTAAGAACAGGATGTTATATCCACAAAAAAATCAAATGAAAAATAACCTGACAATGAAATACATGTACTGTCAGTCTAAAATATTGGTTTTTGCCCCCCCCCCCCCCAAATAAAACAAAAGACAAAAAAAATTACCCCCCCCCCCCAAAAAAAAACAAATACAAATAAAAATAAACAAAAAAAGCAAAATAATGTCTTTTACATTGAGTTCTAGAATTTAAAAGAGGAAAAGGTGTGTCTCGTACATAAAAGCTATATATAGAAATGATACCCATTTCTATTGGCCTTATGTGAAGAAACTTCCTCATTCTACGCCCAAGCTTTATATTTAATAAAACCGGTTTGGCTGTGCAATTTTCAATACAATTCAAATAATCTTTTCTGTTATTTTCATATATTTAACAGACATTCGGTAAAGTCGTTCGTCGTTCCATGTCTAATAAATATTTAACTTCATAGGTTTAAAGTATGGTTTGGTAAACATCATACAGTTTATTTTACTGGTGGTAGAAAAACATATTAACTGTATTAGTCCTTACTTTTTAGAATTTGTTTACTCTCAGCTTATAGCTAGCTTCACCATGCATGAGAAAAAAAGACAAATGCTGTGAAATATTGCATTTCACATTTTTTTTTGTTTATACAGAAAAAATATGATGACAAATTGATACTGTCTGCAGAAAAGTTTCTATTTATATGTTTAATACACCCCTACTATATTTTTGCATTGAAGTGAAATTCCACTCGCTTTATCAATAACTGTCATGTTTTAGTGTCTTGTTTGAAAAAAATGGTGCTTATTCATGGCAAAAATATAAGATATCTTTACCATTAAGCCAACATTTGGTTTATTTGTATAAAAAAAAAAGAAAAAAAAAAAAAGAAAAAAACTATAGGTGGTTTTTTTTTTATGGTGTTCACAGTTTCAAACCGAATTACTAAATACTACAGAAGGAAAAATAACATACCTTTTGTTAGTTGGAACCAAGCTAATGTCGATATCATCAAAATGAAATATCTCATTTTATCAATATCAAGAAAACATGAACTTAAAAATTCATACGAGCAAGTCCGAATTCCTTTATATGTTCAAAAATAACTTTTAATTAAAAATGCATATAAACGGTTAGAGGAAGTTAAAAAAATATCAGGATATTTACCTAGTTTAAATCCCACAATCCACTTGACATAAATGACGTGTTGCAATGTGTATTCTTTGAAAAGAAGACAAACTCAAACAAGACAACTTGATGGATTAATATTAGTAAAATATTCATAATAATGGTTTGTGAGAAAGAGAGATATAAGTCATGAATAAAGTCGTTTGTCAATTCAAAATAAAAAAAATATTCTGAAAAGGAACTTTATTTAACGTTATCGTGTAAACAAAACATTTGTAAATTTTTTATGTATGTTAAATAGAGGAAAAGTGATCGTGAGTCGGACACCTCTAATTTTCCTTCAAGTATGCAGGTCACATTCGGTTGTATACCCTCTGGTATTGGATACTGTCCGAAAGGTCTCGCAAAGATCTACTATTTTTTGCTTGGATAACCTCGGTATTTTACCTTATAATGCATTCAGATGTGATTAATCACCACCATCGAAATTCGATCGTAAGTCGGACACATCTGATATTGAGTCGGACAATTATAAATGTAGGGACTAATTAACTTTATATGCACCTGTGAGGTGCACTTCATCATTGAACAAGCATGGGCCTTTCACAGACAATATATTTAAGGACAGGGGGTCAGAAGAAAACTAAAAAGAAAAAAGAACAAGCAAAAAAATGCGGTCAATATAAGGACCTCCAAACCTCTGTTTCCCTAACCTCTTTTTGTAATTTCTGTACAATCTTTAAAGTACCTCTTTTTGATTATTAGGTGGATTATGACAATAAATAAATCTTCTTTCACTGGGAAAAAAAGAAAAGAGTTTTACCTTGACATGTGCCCCCCCCCTTTAATATTTTTTCAATCTCGTACTAATTGTGTATATTTGGGGTTTTTAAACACTTCAAAAATTGCAATCTCTCTCAGTCTTCCTGCGAAGTTTCGCAGGAATCCGATATTATGATAAAATTTAGGGAAAACTAAGACTATAGTTACGGAAATTGAATACCAGTTATAAGAATTAAAATTCTCGGCAATAGATAAAATTTACGTTTATGAAAAGATTTTAATTAATCAAAAGTACACAGCATTTGTCTCCCAAATAATTAAAAATTCCATGGTCACTTTCAGGTACGTATTCTGCTCTTGCAACTTAAACAAGATCTTTGCGGACGTTTATTATTTTTAGTTCTACTGGTCACTCCATGACCAGAAGAGCTTATGCGATAGTAATGTGTCCGTTGTCCGTCCGTCTGTCTGTAAACATTTTTTTTCACCAAAAATAATGCTTCTCCTCCTACAGTTTTGGTCTGATTTCAATATAACCCGGCATACAAGTAGCCTACACTTAGATACTAATTCTGCATGTCTATCTTTTTTATGAATGGTGTTGTTGTGGTTACCAAAAATACTTTTAAAAAATTCAAGTTTAACGGCTAGCTACAGTGTACTTTAAGAGTAAAAACCTGGGGCCTGTTTTACAAAAGCACTTACGACTTAAGACCAAGTTTAATTATCAATATAGCTTTTTATTTAACATTATATAGAAAATTATTTTAAACTTTTTAAAAAGAAAAAAATATTTTTATTATTAATTATTAATTTTGCAATTTTTCAACAATCTGAAGTTTTGGGTCTTAGTCATAAGTTCTTTGGTAAAACAGGCCCCAGTAGAGCTACAGTATTAACAAAGACTTTTTGATCAGCGACATGCTACTGATGATTTTGTGTGAGAGCAGATCCATGCATTTCTTCTCGGGAAATGGTTTGTTTTTTTTCATATAGAATTTTTTTTTCAATGTTCCCTGCAATCTACTCGGAACGCTTTTATGGCTGATCATTTCGTCTTGAAACAAAAAATGAAACAACATCATGCATGGAATACGTTTTTAAACATATTTTACTATTCTCATATCAAAACTTTAACTACATATGTAAATCACTAAAATATACAAAACCATGTGCCTTTTTAGTTTTTGAGTTGAAATCAATAGTTTAGATATTACAAAGGTAAATTTGTAAACGACAAAAAAAAACCCCAAACTTTAATTGGGCAATTGCTTTTGTAGAATGCTTACTATACGCAAGCCTAGACAGTATATATAGTAGGAACTTTAAAGAACTTCTTAGAGAAGTATAGATCTTCAGAAAATAATCATAAAACGCTAATTTCATGAGAGAGTTAAACCACTTTCTAGTACTACACAATACGCTTTAGAAATCTTCCATCATAGCCTCAGCCCTATTCCTTTCCATATTATAAATTAATTTAACTAATGTTAAATATATTTTTTAAAAGAATGAATTTTAGGGTTATATTTAACAAAAGATAATTCAAACATAATTCAAACATTTGGCTTAATTCATAAATTTTCTCAAGCAATTATATAAGTGGTAAGATTCATATAAATTCTGATAGTGTCCGACTTAACACAAGATCAAATTGAGTCACTGCACCCGAACTTAATTTCTTCGAAAAAGAATGAAATATATCATAAAACAATATATAATTGTGTACTTACAATGTTTACTGCATAGTTTATGCCTAATTTTAACATTCAAATTAAATTCTTATACACGATATGATAAGTTCCAAGCATTTGATTTATCAAAATATTGCCGAGCGGGTCTTCGAATTCCCCGGTGATTAGTGCTTCCTAAGGTCAAATGTCATAAACACTGCACCATCGTCTTTCGATAAAGAAAGACAACTCTTAATAGATTAAGAATTGCTTGATTCAGTCAATCTCGGCAGAGGGTGGATTCATTATCGGAAGTCTATTTAAAATAGCATCAAAATCGTCCGACTCTAGATCGTGTCCGACTCAAGATCACTTGTTTCATGCAATGAAATGACATAATCGTTTTTAGTTTTTATTTATGAATATCATCATAGTCTGTATCATTGAATATTTACATTCGCTATGTTTTTCTACTAAGCAAACTGTGAAACTGATTTGAATACCATTTTCGTGTATACTCACGCGTAGAAATATACACGGAGAAACGTATGTTACCGTGACGTCACAATAAAGCTACAGCAACGTTAGTAAAAGTATAACAATATAGGGCAGCGAGAATTTCAAATATCCAGTAAATGTTCGGAGCTTCCAAACATGTAAAATGTAAATATAAGGAATGTTTTTAAGTTTAGTGTAAATAATTGGTGTGAGAATCACACAGGCTTGCACGTAGGCATAAATAACAAGATTGATAAGGATAATTTTATCCATTGCTTATCTTTGGACGTGGAATTTATTCTACAAGAGGTGCTGGGTTGCATTTTACATCTCCACGAATGTAAACAACGCGTGAAAATATCAATATTTCTGCTTCATAATGGAAATAAATTCTAAACCAACTACAAAGTATAATTTCTTTTCTGTGCATAACGTTTCGCTTTTGTTTTTTGTAACACGTATCCAGGCTGTGATGTATAGTATGGCGGTTGAGATGCAGAAATACTTACGAGATTGAAAACATTTAATTTTCCACTCCATTAAGTGGTTTTAGCGTCTGTCATTGACATCTTAAATTTTACAGGAAATCTTTCTAATTGTCATGCAATGTCATCTTTAGCTTTGCGAAAATTTTGATTTTTTACTTTTTTTCTAAAACAAATATATTGTGAGATTCATAAATTTAGCATAAAATACCCACTGATATTTTTGCATTAGCTGATGTTCTTGTATAAATAACAGACGATTTTAAAATTTCCGCAATCAACTTTTCTCATTTATCCTACAGGATAAAAAAAAAAAATATTAAATTTTCACATGTTAAGAATCTTGTCGGTTTGCATTACATTTTTCTTAGAGTGTGGAATTTTTAAAAGAAATGATAATATGTTTTGTATATTATAAAAATTACTATAAAAATTCATGTTATCTTTTCATCCAAAGATTAATTTTTTGTTTTTAGTTTATTACTAGGTAGTAACCAATAAATATCAATTAAAATTTCTTCAAGTTTTCAAAGGCGAAAAGGATAAACTTCAATAAATCCATCACCATGTCGACTGAATGCACGTTTTGAACTTCTTAAATCAGTATTCATGTTGCTAGTTTTGTACCAAGACACATATGTAGTTAACATTTCATGAAAATCCGAAACATGTTATCAATCCCTATAAAATGTGTTGATATCTTCAAAAGAGAAAACATCGGTCTCGCTAAACCCATGGCATCCTCTCAAACCACAGATCGGAGTCCGCGTGTAGCTCTTTCATATCCAAGGCCTCTTGATCATATATTGTATAAGAGGAAATTTTAGCCAGACGCAAATTTTTGTTCTTAAAAATTGGTATTCTATTTTTAGCGAGATGTAATTTTAGCGATTTTTAAAAAGCTCACTAAAGAAGCTATAACAAAGTAAGCACAATTAATTCTTAGCGATAACCAATTTTATCGATCTTAACACCCTCGCTAATAATGCCAAAATTACATCCTCACTAAAATTCTACTTATACGGCAAATTGTTGTAATCTTAAGAATTCACGCCTCTGTGCTTTGACATCACGCTAAGTCAATGAGAATATTTGTTTCAATCGCAATTTAAATCAACATTGACATCATCAGTGCACAAAAATATTTAGTAAACATTGAAGATGCTGATTGCCTATTTAAAGGTCGCGACAAATTTCTTTTTCCGACTATACTTTACTCGCATTGATCAATATTTTAATGAAGTACGAAATATTCATCACTTCTCATACAACCGCGGCCAGAATGAGAGAGGATCATACATTTTGACCATGATTGCGACGATGAACCCATGGTTACTTGTAGTCAACTGAAATAAAACCTATCATTATTATTTCAAATCTACTGTTCAAACAGTCTTGTATAAACAAACACTTGTCCACGTATTATTCAGTAATATATGTGGTTGAGTCTGTTACTTAAGGTTCAACAAATTAATGAGAGTTAAAAAAAAGCTAAAAGGAAAAGGAA